GAAGTCGCCACTTGGTATAGAGTTAGGGTGTACCAAGTCACCCAAAAAGTGATTTTTTGGAAAAGAAAAGTAAACAAACCCTTTTTAAAGAATTTTTAGGTCTACGTAACCAAAAAAAGGGATCGGGGGTCACATTTGATAAGGGAGAAGGCAAAAGCAAAGCCTAAGGCACTCCCTCACCCTAACCAAAGCTAGTTGCGTAACTTAGCATTTCTTTTCCTAATTCTTCTACCCAAAGTATGTGTTGCATGTTGGATATGACTAATGGATGCGGAAAAAGAAAAATGCAATCCTAAATCTAAAATGTCTCTTATGAGGCTTTTTGGTCCCAATCACATGAGTTGTGACGGCCAGTAAGGAAAACTCTCATAGAGGTCACGGGTAATGCAAATGAAGTCCCAAATATGAGTGCAAGTGTGAAAATGTAAAAAGAATGCAAAATAAAATAAAATAAAAATACAAATGTAAGTGCAAGTGTGCAAATGTAAGAAAAGTGCATGTGTGCAAATTGAGAAAATGAATGTGTACGTGTGCAAATGGATGAAAATATGGTATAATAGTAGTAAATATATAAGTGCAATTGGGTGCAATTTGTGATGTAGAAAAATAAATAAGTGATAGGAAAAGAAGAAAAATGTGCGAATATGGCATGTGGATTGAGAAAAATATAAATAGTGAGATAATGTGGATAAAGAAAGTGAGGAAGTGATATGATAAAAATGAGAGTGTATGAACCTAGAGGAATGCATCAAGTCGGGTACGGGAATGACTCCTAACTTCACGATTTTAATTTTTCCTTTGATTAGAAGGAAGAACTAGCGTGCTAAGGCTATTTTGTAGCCACACTCGCTCGTTTCCCTTACCGAAAGGGGACTCTCAAGTAAATGTACCATATAACTAGCATGAGGATGCAAAAACCTAAGATGAAGGGGAAAGGGTTGGAGGGGCATGCCAAATGCTAGAAAAAACTAAGAAAAATGTATGAAATGTAGTGAGACATGCAAGTATGTGCTAACGAGAGAGATCCCTAAGGGTTTAGCGTTGGACTAGCCCATATCTATGAATTCCTACTAGCGTTGGACTAGTGGAAAACGGGACAATGAGCCACAACTAGCGTTGGACTAGTGTGGTGACGTGCATTCATCCATCGTATTCATCTATGATTATAGAAAACAAGTAGACATGCCAATCACCTATAAACACGTAGCACATAACACTCAGCATACTCGACTAAATGCAAGAGCCTAATAAAACAAATTAACACGTAGCAACAAAACAAGCAACCAAGCTAATGAACTTATTATATTGGCTAACTAAAACAAATGAGGAAAGGAAAAAAATGAATAAAAATGCTCTCCAAGCCCTATCTATTACAAGCCAAGAGGTGTACACATACCCCATAAAAGAATAACTTAATAAAAGTAAAAGTAAATGAAATAATGAAAGGAATTAATGAAAGGCAAGAAAAGCGAAGCAGACATGCAATTCTCACTTAGCACGTTGGATCACATAGGGGAGAGACAAAAAGATAAAAGAAGTTATACCTCCCCGTTTGTGATGTTAGTAAAGTGAACAAAACTTAACTTGGGCTAGAGTCACCAAAGAAAGAGATAACATGAGCTAAAACCATCAAAGTAAGGGATTAATGCACCAATTTAACGGTAAAATGTAAATAAGACAATTTGAATCCACCAAATCATCGAATCCTTCCTCAATTGCAACTTAAAAATAATCAAATAATGCACAATTACAAAGAAGGAAAATTACCAAGAAGGAAAATTACCGACCAATCCCAAAAATAATCATTGACCAAATCTTTTCAAGTCCAATTAAACTATTTGGGAACTTCAAGAGTCCAAGAGCGAAGAAAAGGTCGAGTAATGGTTCAAATTGCAATATTTTGGGACTCAATTGCAATAAATTGGAACACAATAGGGCCTTAATAGCATGAGGAGGAACATGTGGGCAAAAGTGCAAATTCTTAGAAGATTTTTCCATGCATAATTCACGCAAAATCTATGGAGGAAGCTTCTGCTATCAAATGAATGCCTGCGACTTCAACTAAGTAGCAAAACCAATAACTTTCATAACCAACAATCGAAAACATAGCAGAAAACTATGCAAGTTCTTATGAAACTTTCATGCAAACTTGAAGAAAAATTCTGCAACAGCAAGTTTCGGCAATTGATGAAGCTTTTTTAGCAACAAAACTAGCTGCAACTTTCATTTTTCCATTGTCATGCTCAACGCAAGTGATGCAAGCTAAACAGAGACAGCATTCTTTCACCCAAAATAACCAAACATGCATTGTATCATTTAGACCCAGTCCTATACTCTGCATTCCCAATGATTTTCCAACCCAAATCACGCACAAAGGAAACCAAAAGAAACAGCCATGCACTCTTTCGCAGATCCATTAGCCAGCCCAGATTTCAGTAACCTTTTGTTAGTCGCCTAGATGTGAAATGAGAAGCAACCCGTGCGAAATCTACCAATTCCACAACCACAACCTAATGCCGCAACTTCAAACTATCTTTATTAACATTATTTAGCACAAAATATCTATCCCAGGAGATCCAACGAAACAACTAGAAATGAATAATGCAGCAAAGATAGAAAAAAAAAAAAACAACTTGCGGCAATTTTCCAGCCATGGCTCTCTACCCTTGCCATGTTCATCAGATGTATCCTCCATCCGAACACAGCCCAATATCCCAATCCATCATCAAACCGCAATCTTAAGTAAGAAAAAAAAAACGAAGTTCAACATCCGAACATACAAACAACAAGAGAAAGAGGATCAGCCAATAACGAGGCGTCAGCACAAACAAGCCCGAATCTTTTTCCATTTCCTGAAATTTTTATGCATCAGATTCGGATGACATGCGTTTTCTTAGCTGGGTTTTGTCAAGATTCAAGTTCAAAGCATACAAAATCTAAACAACCCAACCCATGAAATCGATATATACTGATGTAAAGAGCAGCGAACGAATCCACTATAAACCAAACATTCAACAAGCAGCCCACGGAAAAAATGCAGTAGCAAGGATTTCCAATATTCTGATCCAAATGTCACACTTATTTGACTAGAAAGGGCTGAAAACATCACCTTACTCACGGACAAAGCGTGAGATAACCCAGGAAAATAACTCAAATGGAGCGACCGGATTGCTGAAGTTGCGTCAGTGGCTTTGAGTTCGCGGTGAGGACGGTGGTGATGAAATTTCAACTTCCTTTTCTTCTTGTTGTTTTCCCTTCGGCCAGATAAAAGCCTTATTTCAAGTCCTCCTCCTCCTTCGTTTTTTTCTCTTTTTTTTTTTCTTCTTTCCTTGTCTCCAACTGCCACCCGAAACTCACTCTCTAATTCCTCCTCCCTCAGTTTCAATTTTTCTCTCTCTCTTTTAGCTTTCTCAAACTCTCCAATGGAAAACCCCCTCCGCTCTCGTTTCTTTCTTGCTCTTTTCGATACCTTCCCTCACCCTGGTTTTCTTTCCTTTTTTTCAGATTCGCAGCCGTCACTAGATGCCCCCTCTTCTTGAACCCTTAGCCTTTTCTTTTATATCCCATCCAAACCCCTTAAACCTTATCTCAATGACTCTAAAACAACCTCAGCTCCTCCCCTTCTTGTTAGCCGTAGGATCTGCCAGAAAATGGTATATGTTTTCACGCTGCTGATGCGGCTCTTTTCCCTTTTTCTTTTTATTTTTAATAAACAACAAAGTTGCGATTTTTCATTTTTCTTTTCTTTTCTTTTTTCAATCAATAAATAGTAAAAGGAAACAAAACATATTTTTAAAGAATAATTTTCTCTTTTTGACAAATTTTATGCTAAAAAATCTTACAATAAAAATAAAGATAAATGGCCAAGAGGGCAAAAACTAATACGAAATAAAAAACTAAAAATAAAGTAATAGATAATAATAATCTAAAATGCTAAAAGTGCCTCAAAACAAGAAATAGATAATAGCTATACTAAAACAAAAATAAAATAAAAAATTAAATAAATAAGTTGAAAAATTTGGTGTCTACAAATTGCAGTGGTTAAGACTTGATTGAGAAAAAAGAAGTTCAAAATGATATCGTTTTGAGCTAGTTTCACTAATTAGAGTTAACGCTTGACCTAGTTCCACTAGATTAACGGTTTCAAATTGATGGAAGGGCCATAACTCATAAGCATATGATTTTAATAGTTCATGGTCTAAAAATATACAAATGATAATTGGATGGCTAAAATTATTATAGATTGTTAAAATTTGAGGGTCAAAACTCAAATGAACTTTTTACCCAAAAAAATAACAAGACTAAATTTTAAAAAAGTTCAAAAAAAAAATAGAGGTGCGCGCGCCTTTTTTTTTTTTGCCTGTGCTCTCAAAATTCTAAACAGCAAAACAACTAACAAGCTGCTCCTCGTCTCAACCGCACAAACCACAGACTCCATTCAAATCCATCTCTCTCTCATCAGAATTCGATCCCGCAGAAACCGTAGGAGCGGGGACTTTGAGCACCTCTCTTTTCCTTCTGAAATTTCAAAAATCTCCCCTAATTTCAGCTATTTTTTGCATTTGTTTAATTTGCCTCGCGTACCTGCGTAGCCAACTTAGATATCTGGTTCCGATTGAATGTGATAGAATTCTGTGAATTTGATGTGCCGACTGGAATGTGATAAAATTCTGCGTTGAATTTTTTTTTAAGAATCTCGATGCCCAAATTATGTTTGCAGAAAGTCCTGGCTCAAATTATGTTGGCCAATTTGTAGCATTCTTAACCTCCCCTCCCCCTCTCCCACACCCCAAAAAAAACAAAGATTTATATGTGAACTCTCTATCTTTCTGACTAGTTTCTCTCATTAATTTCTTGTTTAAAACTTTATTTTGGTAAGGGTTAATAGCTCATCAAGAGTAAATTGGTAGGGGTTAGGTGGGGGGAGAAAAGGAGGGGAGGGGGTGGCAGCGGGAGGGAGTAGAGGGCAGTGGTGGGCCTGGGTGGGGAAGAGTGAGAAGAGAAGGGGGCAGAGGTGGAAGTTGGTGAGGTTTCTAGAGTGTTAGTTTTTTTTTTTTCCCAAGAAACACCACGAGCAACACCCAATTCAAACGGGCCTTTAATCATATTTTCTATTAAGTAGATGTTTGCTTTCTTTATTCCTTTATCTTGATTGGCTGTTAAGAACACTGCTGCATCATATACTTGCATCGATTGTGGACGAAGGACTTCAGTTCCATATCGTGCACAAGGCTTTCTCCTTTTTTTTCTGTGTAAAAAAAAGCATTAATGTAAAGTTTAAATTGTAGTCACCTTAGCTAGCAAGTAGGTCTGCAGGGTAGAATTGTACGTGTTCAAATTCCATTGTCTGTACACTTGTCCCGTGTTGATGTGGTGAACTAATTTAGATTCCTAAATTAAGATATTAGCAAGGTCATATGTTTTGCTCATAAGAGTTTAGATGGACTTAGCAGCATCAACTAAGTGAATTTACAGAAATCATAGTCTTATAGAGAGTGGAAATTTTGGGTGGAATGTAGCGAGGATGTAAATCTTTGTCTTGCTTTCCTTTTCCCCGAGTCCAGTCTCCTATTTCCTATGATCAAAACACTTAAATTATATGAAGTTTCTCCTCAATAATCCTTTCCTTTGTTTCTCAATATATTTCTTTGACTTGTATCATCCTTTATACTTCCTTTTTGAACTAATGTATAGGTCTAGTTATCTCTTATAGCGATACCAGTCCTCTGATACCAGATTTTGGATCCAGTGAGTACAAGTTTTTCGATGGGACTTAGCTAACTATATTTTGGATGTCTTTGTTCTTTGTTCTATTCTAATTGCATGCTGCTATTTATCGGCATTGACTAATGCAGAAATGCAGATTTATTTATAGAGAGTTGCCATCCCAAGTAGCTCAATCGTGGAGGATGGAGATGGGTGGAATACTTAAAGGCAATCCAGTTCCAGTTTAATAGATGCAATGCTTTTAGGCCTACTTGAGCTATGCGAGATGTAAATGGATAAGGTATGGAAACAGAGCATAGCAAACCATTGGTTATTTATGTTGCTGGAGTTGAACAATCATGTTTATACAGCTAGAATAAAATACCATTAAATTAAGGACATCCACTTTCTTCTTTTTATTTTTGTTTCTATTTTTTTCCTCTTTGATATTTAATGATATAAAGATAAGCTCATACTTCTTTGATGCACAATTCTGGTATGATGCAACTCAACTGGACAGCAGGAAAGACCTGGAGTTTGCAACATTACAATTTATGTAAGAAAAACCATCTTTTGACAGAAATGCTTCGGAAATTTAGTATAATAGTAGTACAATCCATTTTTACTTCAGTATCACACACAGGGAGATAGGGAGAACCCTCATTATTCTCTCTCTACATTGAGTTCAAGCATCACCACTCATAGCTAATGACATAATTACCAGCACACGCTCATGAACTATATTTATTGATAGTTGAACAGATGAAAGATTTCACATCTTCTGAGCCTTCTCTTCTACAGCTCCAGCACCAAGTCTGCAGTTTAATCAATACAACAGTTAGATTGATGTTTCATACCAAGATAAATACGTATTTTTTTTAAACTTACAGTCAGCATCAGTTTTGATCCAGTGCTCCCTATTAACCATTACACGGCCGCTGTCTGCCCGTTTAAAAGATAGCACAGATTTGGAGATTTCCTTCCTTAAATCGGACTTGTTATGAGACCTTTTTTTCCCCGTGTCTTCCGCATAATGATTGTTGGACTTGCTGGAGTTTTTCTTGCTTTTGTCTTCATCTGCTTTAATGAACTGCTTCTTGGTTGTGAATCCTTCTGGATGAACTTTTCGGTGGAAGATTTTCATGACCTGCATGGACCATGCAGAGATATTATTAACTCATAATGTTCGCAGTCCTCTTACAGTTACCACAACAAAAGAGTGAACTAGTTGTAGTTTCGTTTCTGTAAGGTAAGTTATAAAATGGCCAATTTTCTGTTGGAAATTCATCTGAAATCTTCTTCTAGGGATTCTTAAATTTGTGGTGTCTTAGATCCTACCTCTCAAAGTACACAACTTTGTGATTCCACCTTCATAGGACTTTTATACACTTATTATATATTGACCTGTTTGAGGTAGTGCATGTTGCTGCCTAAATGTTGACCAAGAGTCTTTCATCATTTAGATCACCATGATTAATTCCATTTGCCTCAGATAATATAGACTCTGACATATTAAATAGATCCGGTCATTGGTGCTGTCAAGTTATTCTGCATGTTCAGGAGGCATTTAAGTTTTTGCATGACTTAGGTCATAGAGATAATTGTGGGCCATAGAGGTAAGACTATTTTTGCGAACAATCCTTTCAAATGGAAGAAAGAAGTAAAATCTATGAAGGCAATTATGAACCTAAAGAGCAAGAACAGGTTTGGCCCCATTTAGCTCAGCTCGTTATGGAGATATAAGACAGGAAAAAAGCCATCTTTAGGGTTGCACTGACCTTAGCAACCTTGCTATAGGAACAATTTACCAGTTCAATTAATGTGGGAAATGATTAGAGCACTTAGTATATGATACCAACCTTAGGGAGTTTCCTCTTGATAGCTTCAGATTCAGTTGTTTTTTCTGCGGAAGCAGTTGTACAACTACTTGCCGTTGACTGAAGCTTCTTCAGAATCTTCTTTATGAAGTGTGAAGCATGCCGTTTCTTAGGTTGATAGTCTGTGCAGTCATACTTATTTGTAGACTTCTCACAACTGGTGTCAGTTCTCCTGAAGAGCTCCTCAAGTGATGTCTTTTCTTTCTTTGGCACTGCAGCCATTTCGGGCAATTCAATGGAAGAACCAAAGAGATACGTTTGCAGTGGACAAGTTGTTGAATCTGCCAAGTCTTCTGCATCTGTCTCATCATGCTGCTTGTTGCTAAAGGTAATGATGCTTGCTTGACTGCTTCTTGCTGATGATTCATCAGCAACTTCTTTGGCTTCGGCTTCAAGGAACTTTGCTAGCTCATTGTTTATTAGCTTGAGTTCATCTTCGGTTATCTTTACTTCTTTGTCAGTCATGTTTTCAAAAGGCTTTGGAAATGTCGGTGTTGGGGGCTCTGTGTTTAGTGATTCTAAACCTAGAGTACCAATTGCAAGAAAACCATGGAATAGCTCATCGGATGAGTCTTCTTGGAAGGACTCTTCAATTCCGTTTCCCGTGATTTCGTTTGAGAACCTTCCACATATCCTGCTTGGCTGTCCTGACTGTGCAAAGCTATAGGTGGGCTCTGCATGGTAAAGCTTCTCATCAAATGGCTTCCTTGCCGAGTAGCAGTTAGGAGGATTTCCTGAAACAATAAATTTGAAGGTTTCAAAAGAAAGGACTACGAAGAATTGTTAGGACTTTTCTGTGGTTCTATATCATTTTGTTTTCTATTACATGTTGGATTTTGAGAGTCAACTCTCTGGCTTACGTTCCAGACAAAATAAAGTACTAGAGAAGGGGGTAGCCCCTTATAAGTGATCTATAAGGTTCTTATGACTTACCTGCAGTTAGTATTGGAATTTTAGTCTTTCTGTAGAAGTTTACTAGCTGATAAAAAAAAAATCCTCCAAGGGAGATGTTAGCTGCCAAAATAATGTGATTGAACAGTTTTTTATCCTTGATCTAGGTTGTATAAATTCTTTCAGTCCTGGTGAGCTGAGAACTATGAAAAGGAAGAAAAGAAATTCAGGAAATGCAGATGAAACTTGTGATTGATTTGGAGCTATATTGCCATAGAATGGAACATGAGTCAATTACCAGTTGTAAAATTCATCATTGGGTCTGCTCTGTTTTGGTTTAGTTTTCGGTGCATCCATCCTAGTAACTGTAAAAACATATAGTCAGAAATCTTTTGCGCATACATTGGAAATCTAAAGGAATGTGTGCTAACCTTCATTGTCAATCTTCTTTAGAAGGGTTGCTGCAAGCTGACTGATGTTGGAAAGGAGCTGAATGGAGGAAATGGAAGTAAAAAGGGGAATAAGTCCTTGAAAAAGGAAGAATTGATTTATCTTGTAACCATGATTGCTTGTGCATGAAAATCTAGGTTTTCCTAGAAGAGTCTTGGTAGATAATACTGTATAGAGGAGAACATCGAGAAAAGTACAAAACCTGTTGGCCTTCCTTGTCAAAATTGTACTATGTGGCCAAGTTGAGTTGCTGCAGACCCATGTGTTGGTGATGCTAAACTGGGATGAATTGGTAAGAAGGAGCTTGGAATGATTTAAAGTTAGTAAATATAAACTACTATGTTCTTATCTTGTACGCCGTGCCTCTGATAAGTTGGCACTTGCACTCAAGAAACTTTTGCCACTTGGAACCAATTAATGTGATGTCATAAACAGATGTAATTGTGCAATATTTTGTGTGTGAGCATACACTCTGCATGTAGTAATGATCAGTACTGAGCACCAGCATGATTGGTAGGGCATAGACAGAATAATTGGCTAGTTTATAGATTTTCTTTGAGTGGCAAGTTTATAGTTGTACAGGGGTTAAAAAGATTATTGAATCTTGAAAGATATTTTATACAGTAGGACCACAATCTGGGAGTTTAAAATCTGATCTGACTGGCCGACTATCAGGTGAATCATTTTTGTGTGGTTTTATCTAGAGATCCTGATATTATAATTTCTGAAACAATTTCTAATTGGTGTTTAAGTTCAGAAATCAGTTTCTTAGCCAAAATTTGATAACAAATCTCAACAGGTGTAATTACATGTTTGAAGTATTAATAAGAGAAACTCTGGTCTATTATGCTAATTACTTTACGGATTGCACTGCAGGATTAGTTTTATTCCAAGACTTCTTCCTTCCCTGCACTACATCTTGGTTGATGAACGAAGAGTCTCATGCTGTAGCTTTTCTGCTGATTATGGTTTTGATTCATAACTAAAAGAATTCATGGTTTAAGACAAAAAGTGCTGAAGCAGCTGAGCAAAAGTTGTTGCAATGACAGGAATGTAGCTTTTGACCAGAAGTAAGCAAAAAAAAAAAAAAAAAGTTTTTTTTTAGGGCTGCAAGTAAGCAATTTTTAGTGTCATACTGAACAAGTTTATTGCCTCTTATATGGCTGTGACACTCACGCAGGATGATGAAGATGCCTAAAACTGATAGGATTCGAGTGATCAGTTATAGGGAAACTGGAAAGTGTTGCTGAACTCAGCATGGATATCTTGATGCAATGTGCTTGAAGCTTTGTGTACTGCAACAGCCAAAAAGAATGTAGAGAGAAGATCCATAAGAGAGTAACACTAAAGATCCATAAGAGCAGATCAAGTGGTCATTAGCCCTGGAAAAGAAAAATGCGAGCGGCCCTGGTTTTGATGGTCATGATTCCCTTAAGAATGAAGGGTTTCTGGTTTTTGTGGAAAACCACGAATGTTATGCTCTAGATGCAACGGTATAAACCATGCCATCCAAAGATCCTCTTACATGTTGGATGATTGTTGGTCACGTAAAGAACAAGTTTGCTAAATTCATCTGTAGATATGGAGTATATGCAGTTTGCAGATGCAAAACATTTGAAATCAAGGGACAATTCATTGAGAAAACTCTTCATGGTATTTATGAACTTCATCTTTACGTTACGGTTTACCGTATCTGAAAATTGTTCCATAGTTTATTAGTTGTATATTTAATTATACTTCTATATTGTACACAAACACCATAATACCCACGTTGTTTGTGTCTATTTTATATTCCTCTTATGTTATGGTCTGAATAGAGATTTATGCTGTGCACCAACGTGGTTTTTTCCACTTTCAGTACTTCGGTTGCCGACCTGTCGAGGGAGGACGGATGCATTATTATCTTAAACAGCTATCCTTGGAGTTTCTGGTTGCAATTTGCAAGCACGATAATCTCACAGAGTGACTCCTATCAAATCATTTTACAAACAGGTTTGGTATTTTATGCTTAACCAAATGTATTGGAGTTGAATTATTAAGCACAAAGTTCAACGTTTATGGAACTAGGGATAATATTCTTCTGTCATATCTTGTACTAATGCGTTGGTCTTTAATGCCAAAATGCTTGACAACTGACATTAATGATGTGGAGGAGGGAACAGAAAACATTTCATGACTAGCGGTTGCAGATTGAGAAAGATGCCTTTCTCATCTTTTTCAGTACACATAGTCTCTCCTCCTCCTTGGCAAAAAGCATTGTTGCTTCCACTTAATTAGAATGAGCAATAGTGGCGTGATTAGGGAAAAATCATCTTTGATAATATGCTCTTTCTTGAAACCACCAGACACTGGAAACAGCCCCTGGTGTAGGTATGCTGCTAGTGGAGAGTAGTTTTCCACACGCATTTCTGGTGTCATAATGAGTTAACTACCTAATCCTATTGCATGAGACTGATGAGAGTCAAGAGATAAAAAAAAGTTGGGCAAATTCTCAAATGCCAAAAAGGGCTTTTTTTTTTGGCTTTGTCAAGTAGTATCCAAAAGCCGAGATGCAAGTGCCTAAAAGTATAATTTCAGTATTCTCTAAACCAAATGTCGGCATATCCTCCTGATGGTATGTCAGAAAGGTAAGGTGTTCTTGTGAAGTGAATGTGTTCGTGGGTTCATTATTTCACCAAAGGCATATTTCTTTTCTCAACCTAAAATACTAGAAAACGATGCATTTGGTGAATCAGCAAAGTTCGGGCAGAGCAATGTGGAGGGGAGTCCTCGTGCTGTTGTTTGTGCATGGGAAAGGGATGTGGAGGGATCCACAAGTCCGGATCCTCATTTTTAGCTAGCAACCAAGCCGCTAGAGAACACGCCCCTTACCTTTTTTGGTGGACAAAAGGGGTGTCGTTGCGAATCAAAACAAACACAAAACTTCTGCAAAACTTTCTGCAAGAGCCAAGAGGAGTTGATCAGATTTCTCGGTTGTGGAGTCAGTTCGAGTCCTAACCAAGGACAGATAATGACCAGCTTGTATCACTTTTTTTTTTTGAAAAAAAAAACTTTTATTAGGGAATCAATGTAAAGGCTGCCTGATTGAGCACATTTTGGGTAAATTTCATTTGTCCCTCAAAAAACCAATCAAGCTATTGGATACTTGATTGAATTCATTAACTGTTCAAGTTTGCCACGAGTTTCGTTCGATTATCATAAAATTTGAAATTTACATGTAGGATGTTCAAGTTACTTGAGTTTGTTTATCTTGGGGAAGGGAAGGGATAGGTTGGGCGATATAGATGGAATGTAAATGAGAGATCCAGGTTCGAAACTTATTACTCATACAAAAAAAATAAAAATTTCTTGTTTTATTTCAACTTGATATAACTTTATTTAAGTTCTTGTAAATAAATAAACAAGTCCAACTTCAACACATTTTTAAAATTAATAGAAATAAATAAATAAGTTTAAGCACTTAAGTGCTCGATTTAATTAGGCTTGCTTACATGCCTAATTTCATTTTCACTTTTTGGGGATAAACACTAAATAAAAATACTTTAGATGTTCACTGTGAGCAATGGTCTACTCATCAACGTGTGGGGTTTTTGTGTCCTTCACCCTCTGCTGAGTCGTTCTAAAGTATAAATAATCGGAAATTGTGAGCATGCTAACACCATTAGCTTAAACACACATTAGTACTATATTTTTAAAAAATAATTCCTTAGATTGTTTTTGATAAGTATTATTAAAAGTGAAAATTTTGATCCGAAACCTTTAAAAGTCTATTAAGATTCTTTGACCACAAAAAATTAGTCGCATTTTCTTGAAGTGATCAAAGAATAACTCTTAGAGTCCTCTTGCTGCTAAGTTCAAGGACCAAATCCTCGGCCTAGCAGTTGGGAATGAAAATAGTATGGATTGTGAGAACGAATCGAATCTTGAACCTAAGAGTGAGTGAAAAGGGTATGAGAACGGTTGGGAAGGTAAAAAAAAAAAAGTGATAATAAAGAAGAAAAGGAATTAGTACTTTCTTAGTCCAAAATCTATTGTCTTACTTATTTTGTTAGTGATTTAAGGAAAAATGTTCTAAGAAAAGAGTTTAAACACACCTTTCGATCCCAAATTTTCAATATTCTTGCACCAATAACTTTTACCATTAACATTAACAATTATACAAGGTTTTCTTTTAGAAACAAACTGTATAAATGTAATGCGAAGCAGTATAAATTCAGTAGTCTACATTAATTGAAAAAAAAAAAAACCATGAAAGGTCCTGTTACCATTCTTTCATAGTAATTTGCAACAACCCTGCTTTGATGGGATGTACTTGATGGAGGGCCACAAACGTGTCAGATCCGAGTGGGATTTCATAATCACAGGCCCAAATCCAGACTAGTGACAGCAGTTGTAGATTCGGATCCGTTTACTTGACGGCTCTAAATGTAATAGTTCCGGATGAATCGGATACATCCAAACCGAAAATTGGCCATGTTTGGATTGTCATTTTCTGTTAAAAAATTGTGTCATTTTTCGTGATTATATTTCTCTATTATCTTTTTTCCCTCACATACATCAAATCGTTACAGTAATTTTTCTATTAAAAATCATGAAAAATGCAATTCAAACATGACCTCAGCTTAATAACCAAAGGTTTTTCCGACTATGAAATCTCACATTTGACCTCAAGTTTGGCCCTTCGAGTTGATGACCCAATATAATGTTGAGTTTCGTACTAGGAATGACAATGAAGGCAGCGCCAGTGGGGGAAAATACGGGCTAAGTGCTAGGGGATTTTTCTCTCCCTGTTTTAGATGGGGAGAGGATAGGAGAGGATACTTGAACTTTGCCCTGTTGACTACCTATAATTTAGTAACGCACGTGCACACACATAATATGAAATAAATTCTGCACTATTAATGTATATAAATAGACTGTGTGACATGAATTGCATGATATTTTGTTATGATAAAGTATGATGCAATTTTTGTTATGAATTTATTATTGTGAAATGATTATTTCGTTATGTTAGTTTGCTTAATTTTTTTCATATACTGCATGATTTTTATAAAGACATAATAACAATTAGTTTAGATTCTTAGTGTTATCAAATAAGGAGAAATGAATTCAAAAGATCAAGGTGTTTTTCAAATTTTATTTCAAGTTCAATTTTTTTCTAAAAATTCAAAAGGATGATTAGTAAAACTATTATTAATTTTGTATTTATGGAAAAAAATTAGATCAATTAGAAAAGAGTTAATCACACTTTATCCCCTTGGACTTTAGGGGTAGTCACACTTTACTACCATTAACTTTATATATACACTTTACCTCCCATGAAGACTAGACAAAATTAGAAATGCATGAAAAAGTAAGTCCACTTTCTTTATCACCCTATTGGTTATGAGATCATTTATAAATTATTATTATTTTCCTTTTATTGTAAAAAAATTATATCTTCACTATGCCATCTACTATACCAAAATATAAAATTGATAAAAGCTTTAAAAGTTTACACTTATCTTATTATCCTTAACATTTTTCTATTAGATTAATACTCACTTTTATGTATACTTTCTTCGATTTATTAGACTTTATTCAAACAATAAGGATAAATAACAGACTAATAACAATAAATTGAGTTAGTAAAATTTTGAAAAAAATAAGATAATAGTAAAATTTTCAGTCTTTAAAAAATAGTAGTTTACTATACTAGTCTATGTACATTGTTAAAATAATATTATTATTGTTTTATCTTTGTCAAATTAGTCAAATAGTAAATGCTTAACCAAAATTGTTAAAAAAAAAGGCTAATATGCCTTTAAATCATGAGAAGGAACATAATAGATTAAATCAAAGTTCACTTTTGTTTTGGGGGTGGAAAAAGCAATAATTGTAAGGGACAAATTCAGAAACCTCTCCTGTGATTTTTGACTATTTCATTTAGCTGCCTCGAAGTTTTAAAATCACACTTATCTCCCTTGATTTGATACTTTTGTTAATCAAACCTTAAAATAGGGTCAAAATTTAATGAATATACTTAAATGGCTTTATATTATAAAGTATAATTCATTCTTCTAAACAATTGCAAAGTACTTTGGCACAATTACAAAAGGAATTAGTGTCAAGATTTTTATATCAATATTTGTTGTTTGATAATCAACTATAACAACAACTTTAGTATTATAATAGACTACTTTTTATAGCGCTTTATGAAGGATATATATATATTTTAAGATAGAGAAGAAAGGATATCTTGATTTTTTAAACGTCTATGCACTAGTTCAACGGCGAAACAATCATAGTTTGATGGCAATTTTAGACCATTTGTTTTTAGGTTGTTGTTGATTTATTCTTGATTGTGATACTAAAAAAAAGAGTTACAAAAAAATGGATGATATTAAAAATTAGGAAGAATTACAGTTTTGGTTCCCACTCTATACCCCATGCATATAACTAGTCTCCAATCTATTTCACAAATAAATTTGGTCCCCAATCTATCCAATTTTGCATGAAAGTGGACAATTGACGGATTTTCTTCAATTTTTTCTAGAACCAGGCCACGTGAGATCACATGTTGACACTTAAAACAGCTATTTCATTTTTTTTTTTTAATGTGGAATGATATGAACTCAAATCTCCAAACTCCTGCTCTTGAAGAAACGAATTGCACAGGCAACGAAAGAATTTATCTTGATTAGGTTATGGACAAAATTGGATGGATTCTAATCCAATCAAGAACCACTCGAGATAAAGGATACTCAAGTTTGGAGCTCTTGCACAAGAAACTCGCGCAACACAAAGTGTTTGCTGGAATTTTCTTAATTCATTTTTCTCTACTGAAAACGTTCGGAACAAGGCTTATTTATAGCCTTTACAAAGATTCAAAAACCTAATCCAACTAGAACTTACCTAAGTAATCCTACTCGGCTAGAACTAGAAATTAACTCAACTTATACTAACTAAAATCAGCTCAACTATGGTCCACATGACCTTTGGCCGCTTATTCCCTAACTAACCCAATTAGCTCTAGTTAAATAACTAACAAATGCTGGAATTAATGAAAGAAACGATAACATGAATGATAACTATCATAAAAGACTAAAAACTAAGGGAA